ATTATAAATAGAACGACATCCAGAAATTAGCTGTTGCCATTTTCTCAATAGATATTTTGTCTAATAACAATTAAATAATTTACAATCGTGCTTACATTCGACCATCCTGACTTTTCAATTGTCCTCAATTGAACCAAATCTTGTCATACATTAAAACGACAAATAAACAACAACAAAAATATAATAATAGGTAGGAAAAAAATGAAATATAATTTAAAATAAGTCCTATACACAAAGTCTCTATAGCGCAATGGTTTGCGCACTGTTCGCTTGGGCCTTTTAAGTTCATCATCGTCTTCGTCATTATCGTCATCGTCGTCATTGTCATCATCATCATTTGCTTCTGCATTTTTCCAAGATTTTAGTTGACTTACATGAGCAGTTGATGCATAAAAGCGACCATCGCAGGCTTCTTCTAGTTGTGATATTCTATAAGTGTCGCCCGGAAGTACTTCTGTCACAACCATTGGACCACGATACTTAGGTTGAGTTTTGGTTGGTTCTCCTGGTGTAGATTTTGAATTTCTTTTAACTACTACTATTTCTCCTTGCTCAAATGATAGAGATCCCGATTTCTTCTTGTCATAATAAGTTTTCATTTTTTCCTTGTTCTCTAACAATCTTTTCTCTAGCTTCTTTTTGTAGTTTTTCCGGTTCCTTCCAAACTTCTGCTTCTTCATCAGCAAGTAATCTCAAAACTCCATCTTGAAATCGTGGTACATATCCATGAAGTATTTCAAATGGTGTTTTCCCAATAGTTTTATTGATTGTGTTATTCAAGTTTCTCTCAACTTCTTTAATTCTTTTGTCCCAATCCTTTTGATCTTTACTTTTCATTGATGTTACTATCGTTGATAAAATTGTTCTGTTCGATCTCTCGACCATACCATTTCCTTGTGGGTGGGAGGTTGAATTTAATGTATGAAGAATTCCCTTTTTCCTTGCAAAAATTTTGAAATTCCTTTGAAGTAAAACAAGAACCTCGATCTGATATTATACGATCTGGTAATCCAAATTCTTCTATGAAACTCATCAATGATTTCAGTACGTTCTTTCGAAGATGTGTTTTTCACAGCATACAATCGAACGAATCTGGTCATATTATCAATGACGACTAACAATTCCTTGTTTCTTTTAGAACTTGTGATGAAAGGTCCAAGATGATCAATGTGTATTGTTGCAAAAGGTCTGCGGCCTGGGGGTATAGGATGCAGAAGACCCTGTCTTTTTCCACCTGGAACTTTGTTGATGAGGCATTCGAAACACATTGATATATGTCGACGAACATATCTCTTCATAGCAGGAAACCAGTACAGTTCTTTGATTTTTGAGACAGTCCTATCAACAGCAAAATGTCCCATAAGGTCATGAAACTTCACAACTATGCTTTTTCTCATGCTTTTAGGTACGACGTATAATAACTTCTTCTTTTCTCCATCCTCCACAATACGGAACAGTCTATTCCTTTTCAAAATATAATTTTCTACATTTTGATTTTCTTCTTTGGTTCTTTCACTTGGGTCTTTCTTCAAAATTGTTATTAATTCTCTTAACTTTTTCATCTGCATGCTGTATCATAAGAATTTGTTCGTCTAAATTTAAGGTCAGACAAACACTTCTAAATTATCTTCTATCAAAGAATGCATGGTGTCTGATGAATTAATAACAGGAGCTCTACTGATTGCATCGATATGAGACATTTTAATTCCTGGTTTGTGGCGTATTTCAAAATTATATTCTTGAATAAGGATACTCCAACGAGCAATTTGGGGATTGCTAGATTTCTTTGCATTCATGTAAACTAATGCTTGGACAGTCGGTAACTACCGTAAATTCAATTCCGAGTAAGAATTGTCGAAGTCTATCTAGAGTCCAGACAATTGCCATTAGCTCAAGTTTACTCGAGTGATAATTCTTTTCAGCTTCCGTTGTCTTTTTGCTCACGCAGTAGACAAGATGCCATTTGCCGTCACTTCCGAGTTGAAGTAACATGCCAGCAATACCCTCTGAGCATGCATCAGTATGGACTTCTGTTTGAGCTTTAGGGTTGTACAAAGCTAAAATTGGTTGATTCGTCAGTTCATTTTTCAAGCATTGTAAAAGAATTCCGCTGACTTTCTTCCCATCTGAATGTTTGATTTTTTCTTAGTTAGTTGAGTCAATGGTCCAGCTTTAATGGCATAATTTGGAATAAACCTTCTAAAAAAAAACTTGTTAAACCAAGAAATCGTCGAACTTCATGAAGGTTTTAGGTTCTGGGAATTTTGATATTACTTCAACTTTTCTTGATCCCGGCTTTATTCCGTTTTTATTGATTATAAAGCCTAAATATTCTATTTCTTGTTTGGCAAATTCACATTTCGGTAACTTCAGGGTTAGTTTAGCTGCACGTAGTGCTTCGAATACTTTAATTAATTTCTGAATCATTTCTTCCCAAGTCCTTGCTGGAACAAGTATATCGTCAAGGTAGCACAACACTTCTTTATTACATAATGAGGATAATGCATGATACATCAATCGTTGAAATTCCGCAGGAGCGTTAGTCAAGCCAAAAATCATTCTTTCAAATTGTCCACTTTCATCCGGTGTTACGAAAGCAGTTTTCAATTTTACACTTTCAGTTAATGGAATCTGTAAATATCCGTGTGCTAAATCTAGCGTTGTAAACAGACTACACTCATGCAATTGTTCTAATAAATCATCTATTTTAGGCAGGGGAAATTTATCCTTTATAGTTTGACTATTGAGACGTCTGTAATCAACAACTAATCTGTATTCACCGGTCTTTACCAGTATGACAGGACTAGCAAATGGGGATCGCGTTTCTGTTATAATTCCATTTTCTTTCCATTCTTGAACTATTTCTTTGATTGCAGCTCTTTCAGAGGCATTTGTTCTATAAGGCTTCATACATACTGGCTTTGAACCTTCGATTTCTTTAATGTCCATTTTTAGGAGATCTGTGCACCCTAGTTCTGAAATATTTAGTGCAAAGCAATCTCTGTATTCATTCAGAAGACACAATAACTCTTGTTGGTGATCAACTTCGAGATCCGAGCCAATTTTAACTTGGCTTAAACTTATAGGAACTTTTATGTTGCTAATATTTTCCGTTTTTGCTAAGTTCGAGCTCAATTCAGAAATTTCAGTATTTAAACATAGTTCAACTTCTGCTCTCCCAACGCATTGATCTTTTTGGAGCCTTAACACTTCTATCGCCAACGTTAATCACTGGTATACAAGTTTCGCCATTTTTAATTTCTAATAAACAGCCTGATACCTTTCGGAAGGATTTTTCTATCATAATTAATCCATTATCCGACAGAATCTGTTTGAGAACTGACAAGACTGATCGTATTTTTCTCTAATTCATTTGCTGCAAGAGCTTTAAGGCAAATGAATTAGAGACGAATACGATTGCCTCAAGAGCCATTTAAGGCAGATTCGATTTACTTTTTCATCAATTTGGAGGTTACTAAATAGTTCATCTTCCCTATACCCGAAGTGAAATCTTTTTCCTATTCTGACATAAGCGATATGTGGGGGAGATCATGCAGCCATGTCCCGTCCGATGATTAGATCAACTGGCTGTGCATTATCAGGAACAAGGTATATATTTATAGGCCTTGGCCTTTTTACATTATCAACTTCAATATCGGCTTTTTAATCATTCCTATGGAGGTCACTGCAGGCACCCTTTGATTTCCAAAACCGTACAATTCATTCCATAGCAGGTTCTGGTTTCACTTTAAGTTTCTGAGCAAACTGAAGTCCTTAAGAGCCCCGTTCAACAAGAACTCCCCGTATCAATTAAAGCCTGTACTTCTTCAGAATTATTCAGTTTGCTTTCTTCAAATATGAATTGCTCTCTTCTATATTTTCGCCAACTTGCTCAACAGAATAATTTTATCATTTGAATAATTTTTCAGCTTTAGTAACACAATTTTTAGCTTTATGACCTGTTTTATTACATTTTTCGGCATGTTACTACTGGTTTGGTTGGGCAGCGGACAAGTCCCTGAGATGTGTCCAAAATTATTACAGCTGAAGCATTTTGGTTCACCTTTTTCATTATGTGTGATACCGTAGAGTTTTTTCTTTTCGTTGATTGTACCAACTGGACCATCTTTAAAGGAGTTTCGTTTGTCGTAAGACCCTTCTTTACGCGGTTGTTTATTGTTGAAAGTTGACTTCAAGGTATCATAATCATCTAGTTTTTCAACTAAATCAATTGGTGAAATCAACTCAAACCATATGTGAATAAAATGATCTTCTGTTCTGGAGACACTTTACGTTTTATCTGATCCGCTGCAATAAGGTCGCTAAGTTTCTCAAAAGTATCTACTTTAATTCCGCTTATCCATTCATTAAAAGAAATTCTTAACTCATACGCAAAATTCTTCCATGTGTTTCCCACACTCTTATTGTGCGTAAAAAATTTTTGGCGAAATTTTTCAGGTGTCATCTTGTACCGTTTTAATAAGATCCTTTTAACTTCTTTATAATCGTTTGCAATCTCATCGGTTTCTCTGGCGATTAACTGAGCAATATCATACGGCAATAAGCCAAACAAATGAGTAACCCATGTATTTTCTGGTATTTCAACTTGTTTAGTAGCCAAACGTTCAAACATGATTAAATATAAACTGATATCATTCTCGTCAGGTTTAAATTTTTGCATCAAACGATAAAGCTCTAACTTTGGATTTCATGTGCGTAACACTAGCATTTTGATTGGTGTCAGAATCTGTAGATCTAATTTCTGCTTCAATACGTAAGTTTTTGCAGTTCAAATTCCATTTCATACTTTCGTTTTCGCTCCTCATATTCTTCTTTTTCGCTTACATTCTTCAATTTCTTCTTGACGTTTTCATTCTTCAGTTTCTTCTTTTTGCCTATGTTCTTCATCTTGAAGTTTTCATTCTTCAGTTTCTTCTTTTCGCCTATATTCTTCATCTTGACATTTTCATTCTTCAATTTCTTCTTTTCTTTCATTTGTTTTAATGGTCAACCATTCTTTGGCACATTCTTCATCATACTCTTTGCTAGTCAAAATTATCTTTTTCAAATCGCTCATTTTATGACTCTCATTTACATCTTCTCCCAATTCTTCAGCTAATATTCTTAAATCGCATTTCTTTGCCTTACCGAAAATAGACATTTTCGTACTGATTAAAATGCAAATTATATATATATGCTATTATTATTAACTTCCAATTAGACAACTTAGTAGAACAATTATGGTATTTTATAAGTTTGTTTGACGTTCTAAATATATTTAAAATTTAAAGAAATGAAAATAATAAACTCTCTTTCCAAATGATAAAAAAAATAACAAAATTAAATTTTATAATGATTATGTTACATCAATTAATGCACATACCTTGAAATTCAAATTCTTTTCAATTTATTTACGTAATAGCAAATTCTTGTAGCTTTAGGCTTAGGTTTCAGAATAATCCCACTTCTGATTTATGTTAACTTCCTTTTGTAGTTAAATTAATCACTCGTAAAATGGTTGTAAAAGACAAACATTTATTTGAAGATAAATCTTAATAACCTATACGTAACGTATTCGTAAACGTACATAACATAACAATCGTACTTACTGCATCGTACAGTTAAACATTTGAAGTGTACATCATCTGAAAGTATATTTTTTAAATTATAAATAGAACGACATCCAGAAATTACCTGTTGCCATTTTCTCAATAGATATTTTGTCTAATAACAATTAAATAATTTACAATCGTTCTTACAAAAGTATGCACAAAATACTTCATTAACAAGTATCATAATTACTGATAGTGCATCCAGCATCTTTGCAATAATTGGCCATAGCAGATTACCAATTGTACGTCGCATACATCACCTACTATCTCTGTTTACACTTAATCTCAGACCAAAATTTAACTGGACAAAAGCTCACTCAGGTACAACTGACAATGAAATGGCAGACCAATTGGCAAAATATGCAGCAAATAATTCATCACTTCCTCAACATTTTCTACCATATCTTCTATCATATTTGAATAACCAACTAGAAGACAATCTCAAAACTCTTTGGAAAGAAAAATGGATCTCTGATACGACAGGCAGACGCACCTTTTTATTTATTCCAACTCCTTCCAGAAATCTAATATCTACTGAACGTGCAATCACAATTCTACTCACAGATCATGGTCCATTTCCTTTCTATCTGCATATATTTGGATTACATTCTTCAAGCCAATGTATTTGTGGACACGATGGAACAATAGACCATTATTTGTTTCATTGTGAAATTTCATCTGAAACCTTATAATTCAACATCTGCTCCACTTTGGTTCAAGCAAATCAAGAAAAGCAATAGACTTCGTAAAAAATTACAGTCACTTATTATTTATCTCTTTTTAAATTGTGACAATCTCATCAAAGCACCGTAAATACTTAAATAGCACACTCCCTCCCACTTGGGAATTTCGGTCTACTAAGGATTCATCCTTCTTCAAAATTTCGTGTAATATCATCTCATCATGCTTTTTCTGAAATTATTATTATAGAAAATCTAAATTCCTATATTACATCCTCTCTAATCTTTTTGTATTTATCATTGTACGTGTTTATATGTCAATTATCTTGACTTCGATGAATTTCTACTCAAATATTTTTAATTTAAAGACTACAACTCAAGGACTGTTTTCTTCTTTTATTCAAGACCTACTTATATTCTCAAGGACTGTTTACCTTTTACTTATCTCTACAGCTACAAACTACTCATTTATTTCTAGACTCTCTTAAAATGTATAATGACATTTTATATTATATAATTTGGTTATTCTTCAAAATTAATATATAAAAATCAGTAAACATAAATTTTCAACTTATGTAACAATTCTCTAAATATTTATGTTGTGAGCTTTATTGTAAACATTGCCATCTATGTAAACACCACAAGACCTATATAATATGTCTCTGTGGTCAAGTTATGCACACCATTGTAATGTAAAATTTATTCAAATAATACGTGATCGGAGGTAATTCCATCATCATACGAAGGCTTGATGGTGCTGCTTGTTATGCTCCTACCGCTACCAAAACCTCTTTGAGTCTGAATCGAAGCGGCATTTATTCATTATATCTTTTTTCTTTCTGCTCTACCGTGTTGCGGTGAATATGCTACGGAGGTTTGATGTTCGATTCCCTCTTCCTTTAGATAGTCTTCAATCTCTTTGCTTGTATATTCTCCTCCATTGTCTGTTCTTAAGACTTTTGGCTTCTTTCCAAATTTGTTCTTCGTCATGGTTACAAATTGTTTTAATTTGGAGATAGCTTCATCTTTTGTAGCTAGCAGATAGATCGTTGTGTATCTCGAATGATCGTCGATGAATGTTATGAAGTATTTCTTTCCTCCTAGTGATGTTGTACCGATTGGTCCACAAATATCTGAATGTATCAAGTCTAGAACTGATTTTGCTCTATAGTTGTTTAGCTTGGGATACGGCAATTCAGTCATTTTGCCTCTGATACAGCATTCGCATTCTTTTTCCTTTTTGGCTTCTCCGTCAATTCTTATTCCGGTTGCCAGGTCATCATTCTTTAGCCTCTTGATTGCTTCATAATTTCTGTGTCCTAGCCTTCTATGCCAAAGATCTATACTATTTTCTCTTCTTTCTGCAGCTGCAATTTTGGCTTTTCTTCTTTGCGATTCAACTACGGTATATAAATTTCCTTCTGCTTTAGCAATTCCTATGGTTTTATTTTCTTCTTTATTCTGCAAATATCTTCTTCAAATTCAACTGTGAATCCTTTCTTTGTAATTTTTCTTACGGATATCAATCCTCCTTCTAGGTCAGGAACGTACAGAACATCTACGAGTCTCACTCCTATTTCGTTATCTTCGTCGTCTGAACAGTATAAGTATCCTTCTCCTATACCTTCGGACTTCATCTGCGTGCCGTTAGCAATTGTTATCTGCTCAGTTTTGCTTCTATCCAATTTGGTGAAAAAGTTTATGTTATCGGTCATATGACAAGTAGCACCTGAGTCAACTGACCAGTTTGAGTTTTTGAGATTTTCTTTCTCTGGTGACTTCGAACGTGTAATTCTCAGTCTTCTCAAGATCCTTATTTTTGTTTTCATCTTTGTGTGCATCCTCGTTTACAGCAACTTTCGTTTTCTGTTTATTTCCATAATTTCCTTTATTCGCTTGCTTTTCATTCTTGAAAAATGAGTTACTTTCGTTTTTTATCTTTTTCTTTGTGGTTATTTAAGAATCTGCACTCTTTTTCTAAGTGTCCTATTTTTTTGCAATAATTGCATCTTCGTTGATTTAAATGCTTGAATTTTGTGTTAAAATTCGTTTTGAAGGCAGTTGTTTCTTCTGTTCGCGTGCCTTCTTTTCTTCTCAGGCATTCGTCGATGAGTTTCGTTTTTACGTATTCCAGCGTTAGTTCTTCTTCTGGGCGTGCTTCTAAAGCTGTAATGAGATTTTCGTAGCTTTTTGGTAAGCCGCTTAGTAAGAGCGCTGCAATGTGACTGTCCTTTATTTCTTCACCGATTCCTCGCAGTTCGTCTACGATTTCGAGCATTTTGTTGACGTGTTCTTCGAGTTTGTATTCGTTTTCTGCTTTTAACGTATACAGCTTTCTCAGAAGGTAAAGTTTACTGGAAAGATTCTTTCTTTCATGTATTTTCTTTAATTCATTCCATATTTCTTTGGCTGTCGTTTTATTTCTTATGTGTACGATTTGGTTGTCTTCTACGAGTAAACTAATGGTAGCTTGTGCTTGTTCATCTCGTTTTCTCCATTCGACGTTTATTTCTTTTGGTGTATCATCTGCTATTAAATCCCATAAATTTTCCTTTTTCAGGATCATTTCAAGTTTGTATTTCCATACTTGATAGTTGTTATTGTTTAGTTTCATGATCGAATATTTATTTTCGCAGCTAGTAGCCATTTCTGCTTCTGTATTTCGAATGCGCAGTACGCAACTATGCAGTTTTGTTTCGCTTTTGAAGACAGGCTTGGCTTTTTCCTTTTTCGGATTATCCAGCGATAATTTATGGTAAAGTATCTTTTCTGTTTTTTATTATCTTGAATGGCTTATCTCGATATATTTTATGCGTTTAGTTGAAGTAAACATATTTTCGGTCTCATAATCTTTGTTGAAGGTATTCGTGGTTCATTTTTGTTTACTGTTACAACTTCGCTAAATCGAGACGAGCAGATGAATAAAACAGAATTAAAGTTCTTACCTTAATAAAGTGTAATCCAAGCTGCGGATGTAAGGAACACGATCATTATATTAGCAAACACAAAATAACATATTTATTAGGTTATTAGAAGAAAAAAATATCTAGCGATGATTACAAGCGTTGTTTACTGTCCATTGCATAACGCGAGAAGTGAGTCATACAAGGAGAGAATGTTTCTCCTTCTTTTGGGATCAAGTCCAATTACAGTTAGCGGGGGTGAGGGAGAAATTAACGTCGGAGTGTACAGCTCCATCGCTGTCGTTATGAATTGCTTCAATTTTTTCAGCAAATTAAACGAAATATTCAATCAAAACTGAAGAAAAATGCACCAGAGTGAAATATAAAATTAGCAATCCCACTGTCCTAGCGTGCCTTTGTGGTGTCGTGGTTCTGCACGCTAGGCCGGTATTCCAGACGGCGTATTCCTGTCGAAGGCGTTGCTATTTTACATCTCTCCGGCCTCCAAAATATCCTAATGTCTCTACAAGTTATAACTTTTAAGTCCAAACCAGTCCTTCCTAACACTTAAAATTCTAATAACGTTTCAATTTCATTTCTACTTTTGTCGACAGATGGCTTTAACTTCTCGTTCGCTTTACTGAAATAGGATGCAAATACGACCGCTGTGCCCAGTGCTTTTCAGTCTTGGAGATTTCTTTGCTCTCGATGAAGAGTACCTGTTTAGTCGTACCTGAATGCCCTCGAAATCGGTTAAGATCTTCACTAAATCTATATAAGGTTGTTGTTTTGCTAATTTTACGAGATATTTAATATTTTACTTTAAAGGCACATGCGTGTTAAATGATTTATTCAACTGTAGCTTATTGAGAAAAGTATTTAAAATAAAGTTGAATTAGGCTATGATCTGCTGTTGTGTTAGATAAATGAATTAAATTTTCAGCTTACGATAATTTGACCGTACGATGTGTTTATCTGCACGAAAATCTATGTAAATAGAAGGCAAATAGGCACAGGTCCTTCTACATCAAAAGCAAAAGTTTTACCTTGTCGTGTTTCTCTTCTCTCTGGAAGACAATTATATGCCCAAAACTCAAGATAACTGTTAATTTCACAGGCACGTTTTTATTTACGACTCGCATAACATACAAAAGCATAGGTAAAAACTCCGGCAGATTATAACTGTCCCCCTTCTCGCCATACAACTCTCTTCCCAAACTCTAACAAAACTATCCTTACGAGTATCGTTTTAGCTCGCACATTAGCTCCACTTACCACAAACTGGCGGAGTTTCGTTCAGTCGAATCTTACAATGAGTTTTAAGACTCGTTCCATTTATACTATTGTCAAATACTATTGATTATAGCTAGTATAATCGACAGATATCATTCGCAATGAATTTCTTCTTCAGCTATCAAAATCTTTAAGCTTAAACAAAAAAAGTTTTAAAAATTATGAAATGGTCATATCCTTTCATAAAACTATTGCTTCGTGACTCATAAAGTGTGATAATTTATTAAAAATATATTTTACCGATATTGCATTAAGAGCTAATCCGTGGTACCAAATTTTTCATGATAAGTAACTGTAACAGAAAACGGAATGTTACAGAATTTAAAATTATCCTTCTCTTCTATGGATTGCCAGTCAAACTCATTTATCATTTAATTTCCTATTTTTGTATACGCTAATAATAAAAAATAAGAAGCAACTTTTCTTCAGCAGACAAGAATAAAATTTTTAACATGCGGATATCAAACAAAATTATAGGCGGAACATACCTTCTCACGCCACCGTACTTCCTCAGTCCTCCCTTATCGTACTGTCGTAGCTCCCGCATAAGGTACACTGTTCTGGGGCTCGAACCAGAACGTACGAGAGCAGTGTCCGTGACAGATGTATCGCAATTGGAGACATAGGTGCTGGTCTGAGAAGCTCTAGTAGTACGACATTTCCAAGTGTACCGATGGTTAGGGTTGCGGCGCAGGGCGGCTCGTACGTACGCCTTGCGAAGAACCGTCTGTACCTAAGAACGAACAAAACACCAAATGCAATTGAACTGGTCGATTCATGCACTTCCATCGGACAATGTTATACTATTTTATTTTAGAGCAATCTGAGATAAAAAGGTTTTTAGTTTCGACAATCTGTAATAAAAATGGTAATTAGACGTGAAACTACAAAATATATCAATAATGCATTTATTAACAATCACAATTAAGAAAATTCTAATAGGTTTGTTCATTTATGGCATATTATTCAGAGTATGAAAAATACAGAAAAGATGCCTTCGAATAAAGGCAAAATAAGTTTCTAAGCTTTATACTGTCAATATGTGAAGCTCTACAGGGACCGATACTAGCTGCATGCAACCCCCATATCAGGCAGAGGGTGGATCATCAGTCAAAAGTCCTCAGAAAGGCTACAAAGATGCTGATCATGATACTACCCAGAGGACCTAATTCCGGCGGACCTCATAAAATCGAAGCACATATCGGAAAAAAACTCAACGTAGGCAAAATGATACTCACCTTTTTAGCGCTTGTATATTGCTGCTATCTTTTATTAAATGGTATCATAAGTATCTGACGTAAGGTTTTTGTGGCAAATAGTTGATGGATAGTGAGAACTTCGCTAGAAAGAGGAACAGGAGATGAAATTTATTTAGATTTCATATTTTAAAAAATTGCTTTAAGATATTGGCTGCATTAGAATTAACACAAAAGTGAAAGTTTCGTAAACAAAGCCGTCACAGTACTAGTTTAGTTAATCTTTGATTAGAGTGATTGGTTACTGAAATATAGCAAATCACATGAGAGCTTTCAGGCTATGAGGAAGGATGCCTTCATGGAGGACTTCTAAGAAAACTGACTCAAATTGAGTTACACATAGGAAAAATCTCAAAAGCCACATATGCAGCCAGCCCATTCAACTAACTTCGCACCTAGAGCGAACTACTACCATTTAGTGGTCTTAAACATTCGACCAACTGGTGATGCCTCCTCGGTTAGGAATCGAAATATTAACATGTTCTCTGCTATGATAAGTAGGCAAAACTTTGCTAAAATTCATTCTGATTTAAGAAAAGAATATAAATGTTGACTCGTTTTTCCAAATTACAGGTTTTAGTGTAAAAGGTCATTGATGTGCTGAAATTTATGTATTATTTCCTTCATGCATATCATTATCCGAATATTCAAAAGTATGTGTGTGAGGAAGATATTCATTCCGAAGTGCTGAATTTACTCATATACTGGTCTGATAAATAGTTTTTTAAATCATTTTGGAAGTACTTTATCTATTAATGGCCTTTTGTACTCGCATCCTGTACTTTTAGAACGAGAATAATAATTTTTATTTACGTCATACATATTATGAGAAACTACTAAAGAAGGAAATTACTTGAAAACTGCAAACAAAAGGTAGTATTTATTCCATTTGTTTTCATTCCTGTATAACTGCATTCACTGAGGACAATGCAGACAAATGCACAAACAATGTGGTTAGCATTGTAGAGGAATTTTGATGCTGAGAGACGTGAAAAATGACCAATGCCCACCTCAGGATTCCAACCTGGACCTCTCGAATACCCGCCGAGTGTGCTGACCATTACACCACAAAGGCATGCTAAGTAGGCGGGAGAAATACTTTATAACATATACCACACCAAGCGCTGGCGTTTCAGTTATTTTATATGATACCACTACAGTCACACAGAAGCACTTGATTGGCAGCAAATGCTTGATGCCCACTTTTGGTTTCAGTGGGCGGTTGTTATACATGCACTACAAAGTTAAACGAATAGTTGTCAAACGACATCTCTCAGCTACATGATTTTGCGCTTTGGTAACACTGAAGCCGACTATTCGAACAACGATCTCAACGTCAAATCTAAAATGTAGGCTACCCTAATTTCTTTACCCTAGAGCAAAAATAAGAAATTAACATTTAAAATTTACCAATCCGTAGTCGCTCTTTGCTACTGAACACTATATGAAGTTTTCATGCGAAATTTTAAGTATACATTAACTATTAAACCCTCTCTCTATCAATACTCTATATACTTCAGTTCATTTTTCAAAACGCTGTCAGAAAACCCATCAAATCTTATGCCTAACCCTGTATGTTTTTTAACTACGTTGGTACTGATTTCTGTTTGAGATCAAGTGGAGAACATAAACTAAACATTATTGTAATTTCTGACAGTTTGGCAATGTCAAAATAAAATACATTAATCTCTTTATGTTCAATAACATTTCATAGAAAGCTTTCCTTAATTGCATTAAACACATATTGTTTTATGATGAAAATCACTTAAAAGTTTAGAAAACAAATAATATATTTCCAAGCTGAGAATAAGATGGAACGAACTTTTAATGAGTTTATAACCTTTTGTTACGTATGTAATGCGTGGAAGGTTCTTTTCTGTATTTATTTAACTAACTCCGTGCTTTCTGTACGAAGCTGCAATTTACCGTTTATTTCACACTTACCCTAAGGGAATCCTTGGTAGATGCAGAGAGTGAATTTTCGAGTTACGTTACCTTTTCTGCTTCTGCCTTATTCAAAGCCTAACTTGAAATTAAAGTTTCCGTTACTAGAATAGATAGCGAGGAATTTGGGAGAATTTCCCAAAATACAAATGTAGGGCTATTCTCAATTATCTTCTTTTCGGTATTTCCTGTTTTCCTTCCGGCTCAGAGAAGTCAGTTTTTGCTAAATTGATTCTAGACTTTGATTCCCAGGACACAATAAAAATTGACTCCAAATCAGCTCCAACACCTGACTTAGAATTAAATTGACTAAATTTCATGTTTGGTATAGCAATAAGTTAAGTACTTCTGAAACAAAAATGTGTTAATTTCTGAGTTTTAAAAGTTTAAATATGGAATTTACATTTTTTTATTTTTGGAGGGCAGGGGTGAGTAAGCTATCATATTACAGTTAATATCCTTTCAAATTTAGAAGTTACATATAAAACTGTTCCGGATATATGATATTGAAAATATAAATACTATGGGTTTCACCGGACAATGAAACCTGATGAAAATAAACAATGTCATATAAATAATAATTTAAGAAAATTAAGCTATAATATTATTAATTAAATCTGATAGGTCTTATATTTACATGCATTATTGCTAGGAATATATGTTACTGTAAATAATAACAGATTTGTTGGTCTAAGAAGGATGTTGGAAGAAAAAATTCGTTCAATATGCTAAATCAAAATTAAGCTGTCAGATATCAGTTAGCGTAACGCCCAGATGAGAGAGTGATTAGTGACCCTGACTGCGGCACCGAAGAAGCCAAGTTTGAATCTCGGAGAAGACAAGGCACGTATGTAAATTCTCTGTCCCTTCATATGAAGTAACGGTGGTCCACCTATTAGGCACCTCCAAATAAAAAGTGACCTCCGCTTCCGGCTCTAGTAGTGGCCAATAAAAATGACCTTTACTGGCATGGTGCGTAATAGTTTTTGCTTAAATTGACTGTGGAAACATCCAAAAGGTAAAAGTTCACTTTTAATATTACAAAGATTTTCATTAGGAAAAACAGAGGTGGTGGCACAAAGTCGCTGCATAAATTATATTGGTTAAGAAAATTCTCAATTCTTTTCAGGTTTATTATTAAGCATCATTTTCTTCGCCACATACAGTTCAACAACAAAATTGCAAAATTTTTAAAATTACATTGCAGCATAGGGTTACAATCCTCGATACAATGCTATGTCTTGGCATATATTTTTATATTATTTTCAGTCTTTTCTCAGTTCATCATATCAATTGAGTTTTCTTAGAAAGATGGCTATAATGTTTTTCGTCTTTTTATTATTAACTTTTTGTGTGTTAGCTTTATTTCTTAAATATCATGTTTGTTTGCAATTACGCCGCATAAATTCAACTGAAGCAAAATCACAAACTATTTAAAAACAGCATATCTTTGGAATTCTCGATAGTGTTAGAGGTTGCCATACATATTTTTATATTTGATATATTACTTCTTTAAAAATTAACCGTTCGTGTGGCCACATGTTGAAAATATTTATCATAAAATAAAGAAGTGTATAATGATTTTAATGGGTCCAGCTAGTGCAATTTCATAATATTCTAATTAGACAATTAGTTGTCAATAGTAAGAGATTCTAATTAGTTTTAATTAGACATTTCATGATTTTAATGCATGTTAATTTAAATCAGTCAGATTAAAGGGTAGGGTACGAACTGCGCCAAATTTGATCGAAAAATCCCCGTCCCCCTCTTTTCTAATCCACAAACTGCGCTACGTTTCCTGTCCCCTGTTTCTTTCCCAAGAAGATTGGGTGCTACAAAAAGTCATTAATGGGAAATTCTATTGCCATTAATGGGAAATTCTATTGAGACTGCTATAAGCCTTTATTTTCGTTTATCAATATTGTAAAAATTGTGCATGCAAAACAAATATTCAATTTAAAGTCTGGTGTGTGCTAAAGTTAAAATTAATTTCTTTTACACTCATTTTAAAGTTTTATCATGCTTAAAGGAATGATGAGCCAGATCTTTTTTATCTCTGTAAGAATTAAAAACTATCCAAGTTGTAGATTTTAGTCGCTGATATATATATATATATATATATATATATATATATATCAGTTTTGAATCGTAAAATGATATATATATATATATATATATATCAGTTTTGAATAGTAAAATTGATAGACATACACAAAACTGATACATAATCAACGTATCAAATATCGCATTTGTAGCTCACCTTAAATAATTTTCTTGTCTAGATAAATATTAACAAATCTTCTTAGATAGCAGAATGGTTTTAACTTTCAAATTTACCATTTTAGGTAAACAGTTCTAAATTAATTATAAAAATTATCTTTATTAAATCTAAAAATTGGACTTCTTAAGTCGTTCTAAATTCACACTAATATTATTGCAATATATTCCCGTATTGAGCTTTCCATTTTTAATTATTGGAGTTGTTTTAAGGTTATTTAACTTTGTTTACAAATTCCATATTTTAACACTAGAA